AGAGAGAGAGAGAGAGAGAGAGAGAGAGAGAGAGAGAGAGAGAGAGAGAGAGAGAGAGAGAGGGATTAGCCGCTGAAAGTGCACTGTATAATAACAGGAGTTCAACTGTTAGCCTGTCGATCCACCAGGATGGAGGCTTTGCGCATGGGCGTTGAAAAAAAAGAAAAGCCTGTCGATCAACGAATTTTCGGGACCACGGGGCAGGTACACTCTGCACATTGTCGTTTGCTTATTGTGTGTGTGACCGAAGATTGGTCGCACATACCACTTTCTCGGCGTCTTTTTTTTTTTTTTTTTTTTTTTAAACACATTCTCGACCCTTTGGCTGAGATCAAGTGTCCTTTCTGTTCTTGTCAGTTGATTAAAAAAAAAAATAAAAAAAATATTGCACTCACTTGGTTCTGTTGTCCCACAGGAGCGAGCCCATCTTCCCGCTGTCAGGGTTCAATCAATCTGTCCCACTGTCCGCGTTCCAGCGACAGAGCCATGTCCCACTCGCTGTTTGCAGTGGGACATGGTTCCCGGGCGGGACATGGTCCCTGTGGGCCCAGCGGGTCCATTTCTTTGCTCGTTTGTTTGTCGATTTGTTTGTCAGCGTCCCCCCTCCCCCCCCGGCTTGGTCATGTGACATCCAGTTTTTTATGCGTGTGTCACGCCATGATTTTGCGAGGCCAACTTAACTGAGGGGGGCAACTTAACTGAGGGGGATCATTTATGCTGCAGACCAGAGTTCGAACCAAGGTGTATATGAAAGCAAGCATGTGACCCTGGTTCGAACTCTGGTCTGCAGCATAAATGATCCCCTTCAGTTAAGTTGGAATCATATAGGCTGACCAAAAATGATCCCCCAAAACCAGAGTTCGAACTCTGGTCTGCAGCATAAATGATCCCCCAAAACCAGAGTTCGAAGCAGGGTTCCAAAACCCTGGTTCGACCGAAATCCTGGGTTTTATGCAGAGTCACCAGAGTTGGAACCAGGATATAGCTTTTGGATCTAGGCTACCAGCGGGGCCGCCCGGGTCACCCTATTTTCCCGGGCGGCCCGGCCGTGCAAGGACCAGGGAAGGCCCCAGCCAAAAAAAACAAAAAAAAAAAGGGAAGGTCCCAGCCAAAAAAAAAAAAAAAAAAAAAATCCAAAAAATCCCCAAAAAAACTATGTTATGCAGAACAATAAACTGAACAACTTTTGCCTCAGGGTTACATC